TCTCTTTTTCTCTGCCCTTTATTGCTGATCCCACAGTTATCAATTTATATATATTTTTTGTTTCTTTTGTTTGTTTGTTTGCTTTTTGAGACAGGGTTTCTCTGTAGCTTTGGAGCCTGTCCTGGAACCAGGTTGGTCTTGAACTCACAGAGATCCACCTGCCTCTGCCTACATGGTTTGTTTTATAAGTTTTAATAAGGTGCTTTCATATTTAATAGTTTATATAAAATGTAGCCCGGGCTGGCCTCAGACTTGCTGTATAGATGGCGAGGACAATGATTTCCTGAGCCTCCTACTTCCACCTCCGCTGAGGTCATAGTGCCTGGTGGAGACAGGGCTGGGATCAGAACCAGGGCTGTGTGCACTCTAGGCAAGCGCTCTGGCAGCGGAAGTACCTTGCCTGTTCTTTCTCTCATATTTTCTTTGCCTACTCATTCACATTCTCCTCTGCTTTGAGTGCCTGTTTACCTAAGTGCCGTTGAACTGGAAATTCCAAACTGCATCTTTTGTTTCCCAATCTTCTCAAGATCTCTCTAATTAGGATATGTTGGTCTATTTCATATGCAAATACTGTTTATCTATGCCTGCACTGATAAGCAGTGGGATTGTTTTCAACTCTGTTTTTAGAAACAATTAGGGGTTGGATTTTTATTTTATTTTATTTTATTTTTGTGCAGCTGAACTGGGTCATCTGTAAAAAATCCACCCTCACCAGGGAAGCAGTGGGTCACAGGACAGATTTAATCTGTGTTCTGCATTCAGACATACTCAGTGAAGAAGGAGGCAGAAGACTGGGACCTGAAGAGGTTTTTCTTTTCTTTTTTTTTCATTTATTTTTTATTGGAAAAAAATTTCTGCCTCCTCCCAGCCTCCCATTTCCCTCCCCCTCCTCACACTCCTCTCCCCTCCCCCCACTCCTCTCCTCCTCCCCCCACTCCTCTCCCCCTCCCTCTCCAGTCCAAAGAGCAGTCAGCGTTCCCTGCCCTGTGGAAAGTTTAAGGTCCTTCCCCCTCCATCCAGTTCTAGGAAGGTGAGTGTCCAAACTGGCTAGGCTTCCATAAAGCCAGAACATGAAGTAGGATCAAAACCCAGTGCCATTGTCCTTGGCTTCTCATCAGCCCTCATTGTCCGCCATGTTCAGAGAGTCTGGTTTGATCTCATGCTTTTTCAGTCCCAGTCCAGCTGGCCTTGGTGAGCTCCCAATAGATCAGCCCCAGTGTCTCAGTGGGTGGGTGCACCCCTCACGGTCCTGACTTCCTTGCTCATGTTCTCCCTCCTTCTTCTCCCTCCTTCTGCTCCTCATTTGGACCTTGGGAGCTCAGTCTGGTGCTCCAGTGTGGGTCTCTGTCTCTATCTCCATTCATCGCCAGATGAAGGTTCTATGGTGATATGCAAGATATTCATCAGTATGGCTATAGGATAGGGCCATTTCAGGTTCCCTATCCTCAGCTGCCCAAGGAACTAACAGGGGACATCGCCCTGGGCACCTGGGAGCCCCTCTAGGTTTAAGTCTCTTGCCAACCCTAAGATGGCTCCCTTGATTAAGATATATGCTTCCCTGCTCCCATATCCACCCTTCCTTTATCCCAACCATCCCATTTCCCCAAGTTCCCCCCATCCTCCCCTTCTCACTTTTTTCTCCCCATCTCCCCTTACCCCCATCCCACCCCACCCCCAAGATCCCAATTTTTTGCCCGGCAATCTTGTCTACTTCCCATATCCAGGAGGATAACTATATGTTTTTCTTTGGGTTCACCTTCTTATTTAGCTTCTTTAGGATCACAAATTATAGACTCAATGTCCCTTATTTATGGCTATATACCAATTATGAGTGAGTACATCCCATGTTCATCTTTTTGGGTCTGGGTTACCTCACTCAGGATAGTGTTTTCTATTTCCATCCATTTGCATGCAAAATTCAAGATGTCATTGTTTTTTACCGCTGAGTAGTACTCTAATGTGTATATATTCCACACTTTCTTTATCCATTCTTCCATTGAAGGACGTCTAGGTTGTTTCCAGGTTCTGGCTATTACAAATAATGCTGCTATGAACGTAGTTGAACAAATGCTTTTGTAATATGATTGGGCATCTCTTGGGTATATTCCCAGGAGTGGTATTGCTGGATCCAGGGGTAGGTTGATCCCGAATTTCCTGAGAAACCGCCACACTGATTTCCAAAGTGGTTGCACAAGTTTGCATTCCCACCAGCAATGGATGAGGGTACCCCTTCCTCCACAACCTCTCCAGCAAAGGCTATCATTGGTGTTTTTGATTTTAGCCATTCTGACAGGTGTAAGATGATATCTCAAAGTTGTTTTGATTTGCATTTCCCTGATTGCTAAGGAGGTTGAGCATGACCTTAAGTGTCTTTTGGCCATTTGAACTTCTTCTGTTGAGAATTCTCTGTTCAGTTCAGCGCCCCATTTTTTAATTGGGTTAATTAGCCTTTTACGGTCTAGTTTCTTGAGTTCTTTATATATTTTGGAGATCAGACCTTTGTCTGTTGCGGGGTTGGTGAAGATCTTCTCCCAATCAATAGGTTGCCTTTTTGTCTTAGTGACAGTGTCCTTTGCTTTACAGAAGCTTCTCAGTTTCTGTAGGTCCCATTTATTCAATGTTCACATTTGTGACAAGTTTCACTCTTGTATCTTCTGAACATACTCATTCCACAGAATGCTGCTATCTCAGCCACGGGGACTTTCTGAGGGCACCATGACTAACACGCTGGATTTGCTATGTTTTAGCTTGGCCTCTTCCTTGCTTTGGTTACTTTAAAGCATATAACATATGAGTTGTTATAGATATAAAAACATATCTAACCATCATCAGGCAGTATCCAGAGACTGTAAATACATTGGCCTTTAGTACTGGGCAAAGACCAAGAGAGCTAACTTTGGTATACATGATGGAGACATAGCCATCATCAGTGTGGAATATCTCAGCTCCTGTCATAGAAGGGAATAACACATGACTATTAATGATCAACCTCCCTTACTTCTACACTGATCTTGTTCAGGAAGCTTGCTTTGGAGGTTTGTGTACATGTGTGTCTTGAAGACACATGGAATTACAGAAACAGTTAAAAAATTCTTTAGGAGCCCTTGAAACTTTGTATTTCTTTTTTTAAGTTAGTTCTTTGAGAATTTGGGCAGTGTGTTTTGATCTATTCACTGCCCAACCCACTCCTCCCAGATCCATCCTCTTTTTCCTACCAGTGCAACTTTGTATCCTCTTTGTACTTTACCTACCAGATCCAATTTGTGCTTCTCATATATGCATGCATGTGTGACCTTCCACTGAAGTGTAGTCAACTTACTAGGGGTCAACCTACTAGGGGCAACACTCTTTTCACTTTTAATTCTTATTTCTTAAATTAAAACATAATCATAAAATCTTCCTTTCCTTCTCTTCCTTCAATCCTTCCTGAGTGTCCCTTCATTACTCCTTCTTAAATTCATGACCTCCTTTTTTCTAATTATTCTTGTTACACATTAATGCATATTATATATCCAAACATATAAACACAGCCTGCTGGGTCCACTCAGTGATGTGTGTATATAATGTTTTCAGGGATGACTCCTGGTACTCGGTAGCCAATTACAGAAAGAACTCTTTCACAGGGCTTGTGATGCTAAAATTGCTGTGGCTTATATTTGCAACTACCTTGCTGTATTAGGAAGACATTATTTCTTTTTATCCATCTACCCCCTCTTTAAAAATGATTCCAGAGCCTTGGGAGGAGGAATTGTGGTATGAGACATCCCATTTAGAGCTAAGTATCTCATGATCTCTTATTCTTTGTCTATGACCTGACTAAAGACAGGTTCTTGGTGTGACACTGGTGCCAGATATGGATTTCATCTTGTTGGGCAGGACTTAAATTCAATCAGAAATGGTTGGTTGTTCCACAATAACCATGCCACTATGGCGCCAGAGCAGCTCGTAGTGTTCAGAATTGGGCAAGACTGATGACTACTTTTCTCCTTTTCTGTGTTAGCATGCACAGCACCTTTTGGCATTATGAAAACTCGTCAGCAGGAATAAAAGTTACAGTGAAAATTACTAGCTTGAAATGTCTGTTGACTTGACTGAGGTTTCTGTCCCACCAGGTCCCACATCTGTTTAGTCCCAAATAAATACACAGAGGCCTACATTAATTATAAACTGGTTAGCCTATTAGCTCAGGCTTCTTATTAATTCTTATAGCTTTTATTAGGCCATTATTCTTGTCTGTGTTCGCCACGTGGCTTGGTACCTTTTTGGTGAGGCAGTTACATCTTACTTCCTCTGTGTCTGGATGGATGACTGCAGATTGCCTCTTTCCTCTTCCCGGAATTCTCCTGTTCTCATTGCCCTGCCTCTACTTCCTGCCTGGTCACCCCTCTTATCCTTCCTGCCTGGCTACTGGCCAATCAGCATTTTATTAAAAATAATACAAGTGACAGGGTAAAAGACCATTGTCCCACAGCAAATGTGTCAATGTTTTTATTCATTTATTTATTTATTTTATTATAAGTTATTAGAATTTATTAAACAATGTTTTCTTTAAAAAAATATATATCTATATATCCATAAAATCCTTTACCAAAAATTATTATTCAGAAAAACAAAAGTACCTTCTGGAAGTAAACTCGTGTTGCTACTGAGATGACAGGTATCTGCTGTGATACTAGAAACTGCTTCTTGTCCTTTCGTTGGCAACCTGTATCCTATTGTTCAAACAAACAGAAAACAACCAGAAAGGCCACTAGACCAGCTAGGCTCCATTGCACTTCCATCCTTCTGTAGGAAAGGCAGGTCATTTCCCATCGTCCGCTCTGCTAACCAGTATCCAATGGATAGCCACACAGCTCTTGTGAGTTTAAGTGGGCAAAAATTCTGACCATCGTGGTGCTTTACTTCCTGAGTGTGCCTTCGCCATCAGACAGTGGCCTACACTAGATCAAGGTTTCCAGTTGCGCAAAGACAGCTCAAGTGTCAAGTAATCCCAGCCTGTTTTAGGGAGTTTTGAGTGTTTGTTTCAGCCACTGCAGACCTTGCTTTGTATAGATCACCAGGTCCACCAGGCTGCTGTTGAGGGTCAAGATACGCACCTTTGTGCTGAGCTGAGCAAAGAATTTTTTATTCTTCTTTGTAAGGGCCTCTGACTGTTCCCAGAGTTCCAAGGCTTTAAGGAGGTGGTTTGTGATGGTGAAATAGGCAAAGGTCTTGTTCTGGATGGTGACTGGGACACGGACAGTGGCCGTCATCCCATCAGCACTTGACTGGGACCTGACAGATCTGGCAGGAGAAGGCACTGGGGAGAGGGAGGACGGAATACCTGTGCATAGAGAAGAATTGTTGAAGTGGTCACTAAGAGAGTGAGAATACTTCATTACTATGTCCTTTTTACAGCAAAACATTGCCATGTTCACCAGTGACTGGCAACGTAGACATAAAACGGCAAATATCTTTTCTTGTGCTGGCACCGTGGCATCCGAGAAGGATTTTAATGACATCGTGAACTTAATGAGGTCTGCAGTTTCTGAGTAGACAGCGTACTCTGCCTTTACTGAGCTTTCTGACTCCATGGCCATCCCACACTCAATTAAAGACAGGACAGCTTCCAAATACTTGAAGGTTTTTTTGATCTTGTTCGTCGTTGCCGCTGCTTTACACTTCAACCTTTTAGCTTCCTTCATGTAAAAGTCAGCTTTCTGCATGTAAGGTTTCACTTGTGGCTGCTCTGGTTTACAGTTACCCTTTGGCAAAGAAGGCACTAGGAATGCGTTTGTGGCTTCTCTAGAAGACCCTTTGTATTCTGAGCCCCTGGCCTGCACTTTCGGCACTTTTCTGTGCTTGGGAACAGAAGAGTCCTTGTCATTGGCATTGGCGCTGCCTGCACTTTTGGGAGGGTCCTGACCACAGGTGTCTACATCTGGCTTTGGCTTCTTGCGTGCAGTTTTGGTTGACTTCTGGGTGGAGGAAGAGGCAGACACAGGTGGCAGAGAAGGCATTTCTTCTCTTGAGGACTCTTGAGGAGGGTTTGGAAGTTTTTGTTTTGGAAGATTCAGTGTGGGAAGAGGAAGAAGAAGTACAATGTGACTGGACATCTTTCTCCCTTCTGATTTTCTTGCTGGCACGGTCCTTTTCTGAGTCACTGCCCTTTCTCTTCTTGCTCAGTCTGCCGGAGCCATTGCAGTCTCTCTTTGCAGGGTCTTGCTTCTTATCTGCTGGCGGCTGCCTGTCTTCTGCTTTCCTAGGGCTGCCACCCTTCCCCAGGGGCTGGGGAATCCGAGTGAGATGATCTAGGTTTATCTTCACTACCAAACTCGTTGGTAGTGGAGAGTCCCTGAGTGGTGAGAGCAATTCGGTGTCTCTCTTTTGACCGTCTTCCCGGACACTTGCAGTTTGTTGGCAGTGGCTAGGCCTGCCACTGCTGCCACCACTGCAGCCCCTACCACTGTGGGGTGGCGTGAAAGAGTTCCTGTTTTGAGCTTTGTCCTTTGGAGGCTGAGGGCCTGAGGGCACCTTGGAGGGAGCCGGGGAACCCTTGTGCTTCCTTTTCTCCTTAGGGGCGGGCTCGGCTGCCTGATGGTTGGGCATGCGAGCTTCAGGCTTAGGCTCCCTGCCTTTTGCCTTCATCTTGGGTTTGTCTTTGGAAGTCTGTTTTTTTGATTCAGAAGGAAGAGGTCCTGGTTTACTTTCCACCTGCAAACAGGCCCGGGGCTCTGCCTGGCCAGAGCCCTTGGCAGGTTTTCTGGGTTGTTTGGTTTCAATAGTTTGCTGAGGTGGGGACTCCTGTTGGGCAAGGGATTTCTGGCAGCTCCTCTCCTCAGGTTGGGGCCCTTCAGTGGGATCTTGGACGCCTTTGCTGGAACTCTTGGAGGGAGAGCCTTTGGACTCAGGGTGTAGCTGGTCAGTGTTGCGGTTTTCACCCTTATTTTCTGACTTTGCACTACTGGAATGTGCTGACACCACCGGCTTGGGGAGAATCTGGGGAGCGCTTGGAGGTGCAGATAGGGATGGAAGCTTCTCTGCAGCTTGTTCTGTGTCGCTCTCTTCACTATCACTGAGCTGCAGGTCCTCCCAGAGTATGGATGTCCCTTGCTGTGAATTGGGATCCAACTTGGGGAGAATCTGGGGAGCGCTTGGAGGTGCAGATAGGGATGGAAGCTTCTCTGCAGCTTGTTCTGTGTCGCTCTCTTCACTGTCACTGAGCTGCAGGTCCTCCCAGAGTATGGATGTTCCTTGCTGGGAATTGGGATAAATTTTGGAAGGTGGATAGTATTGATTTTGGCTTTGGGTTGCAGAACTATTGGGCAGAGGCTCCTTTGTAGGGAAAGGAGATCTGGATGACTTGGCCGTACTGGGTGTATGCTTGGTCTTGGCCGTACTGGGTGTATGCTTGGCTGTCAGAGGAGGGAGCCACGAATGGGTCATTTCCTTCAGAATCTCCTCAATGCAGCGGACTTCATTGGAAAACAACTGCTCCACCGACTCCGACTGTGAAGATATCTTCAGTCTGGTGAGTTTGGCTTTGGCTGGCACTTTTACATCCAGTTTTTCGAAGCTCTGCTGACCATTGTCTTCCAGTGGCGGCTTCAGGCCCAAGGGCTCACTGGGAGCCTGATTCTGACCGTCTGTGGGCCAGATACATGTCATGGGCTTCTGCCGCATTGCGACACTTTCTGAGGGGAGTGGAGGGGGTGGAAATGTTTGAGAAGAGGCCACCCCAAGTCTGGTAATTACCACTGAAGTGTCAAGAGGAGTCTCGTTATCTTGAACCTTTACTTTCAGGTCCTTGGGAGACGTGTCTGCACAGTAGCCTTTATTGCTAGTGCTACTGCTGCTGTAAACCTTGCGGGTTCTTTGCAGTCTGGAATGTACAGGTGACAAATGGGACACAGGGGAGATTAAGGGTGAGAGTTTTTTTACCCGGAGCTGAGTCACCATCAGCTCTGCGGTCACACTTTTTGTGGTTTGAAGAGTGCCCCTCCTGACTGAGGCGATCTCGAGTCAGATGCTGTTTGTTGGGTGGACCATAGTTTTTGGCATGGAGACTTGGCACTGGCTCCATCCTTGGTGGTGCCATCTTTGAACTGTGGCTAATGTTACCAACAAAAGGTGATCCAGGGGCAGAAGAAGTACAGAAAAGCTTGTGGTAGATGTGCGTGCAACAGGAGTTGGATGCAAGGCTCTCCCTGTCATGAAATAAAGGATATTTCGGCTTCCCCCGGCTGTCTTCAGAACCATTTGGACACTGAGTACAAGACATAGATCTCCATAACTCCTTCATAACTTCGTAGTCTCCTAGTATGTTCTGTATCTGACGCGACAACTCATCCCTTTTTGTAGTCTTGTAGGGCTCTCCAAACAGTGGCATCTTTTCAACAAACACCTCTTTCTCCGGGTGAGCTTCTTGGTTGCCTCTCTCCTTCTCTCGAGTCCGAAGAATCTTGGTTACTATTTTCACTGCTGTCCTTGAATGCAATTAATGGCGGTCTGTGGAAGGTGCTCATTTTCCAGGCTCTCTGGTTCTATAGTTATGTCTGGGGTGTCTGTGTCACCTGACTTGACCTGTTGAGATGCAGGGACAAGAGAGTTCGACTTCAGAATTGTGGGAGCCAATGGTGCAGGCCGCACTTCAGCACGTGCAGGCTGTGGGCCGAGCTTACCGAGCTCTGCCAGCAACCGATTTGCCAGCTTCCGTCATTGGCCACCCAGAATACCCCAGGCTCAGGCCACACCCTCCGTGCCAAGCCACGCCCATAGCTTCACCCCACCCCCACCTGGCCCCAAATGCCCACATTTTATGACTCAAGTATGTGGAGCTTTTGAAGTTCCGGGGAGGTGTTTGCAGAAGGGTTAGTTTCTACAAAGGCATCTTTAGATGCTGTAGTCTCCTCATCTCTCCTACTTCGGTTCACATTCATTCCTTAAAGATTACTGAGGAGCAGGAGAGACTGCTCAGTGGATAAAAATAGTTGGTGTGAAAACAGGAGGACCTCAGATTGTCCTAGCACCCGTCCAAAAGCCTAGCATAGACACACATATCCGTAACTCAAGTGTTGTGGAACATTGCCAAGCAGATTCCAGAAGCTCAACGCTCAACCAGTCTAGCCCTAATAGCAAGCTTCCAGTTCAGTGAGAGACCCTGTCTCAAAAATAAAGTGGGATGTAGGAAGACACTTGACATCTGTCTCTAGCTCCTACATGTGTGTGCATGGGTGTGTACGCTGCATGCACATGTGTGCACATACCACACAAATACACACATACACATACTTTATACATGACTAATTGAGCAACTACGGAGATCAAGAATTAGCCTGCAGGGATCCTATAGAGCCAGCCATGGTAAATTAGGACAGAGGGAAGGAGTCAAGTGCAGCGTCTGTCTAGAGGAGAAAGGAATGAGAATCAGGGCGCATGAGTGCTGTACAGGGAGGTGACAGCTAAGATGGTCTTTGACAGATGTGTAGGAGTTGAGCACACAGAGAAAGGAAGGAGTCTTAAGGACCAGAGAAGCAACTCCCTCCTTCCTCCCACACTCATACCCTGCCCCCTTTCCCTCCCACCCGGCCAGCAGTCGGAACACAGAAATAATCCTGGATCCCGCGGGAAGAGGAGCAAATGCTCAACACTGTACCGCGAGACTGCGCCCGCTTGCTAAGCGTACCCCTCAGCACTTGTGCCTGTGAAATGCATTTCACGGCTCATCTGTTCCCTAAATGAGATGTGAAGGCAGTTTACACCTCGTTTACATTTGCGCTGTTTTAAGGAACAGTATAGATGCTACTCCACCCAAGAAAAGAAATGAGGTCAGCTGCTCCCTTCTCTCTATGGAGTGCCTCTACACAGCCCCTCAGACCTTCCCAGGCACACAGGAACCTAAGCTTGGAGTTGAGCAGGTAAACCAGCCATAAGATAGGTGGTGAGAGCAGCGGCCATTGTGTTCCTCTGATGTGGGGGATGGGTAGCCCTTCTTTAAGTCAGCACTAGGTTCATGGTGTCTAAGTTATTCAAATAGAATGCAGAGATTTTGAATGTACACTTAGAAATTTCACTTTGCACATCCTCTTACCTGAGTATGTGAGAACTCTACTAAAATCGTTCATGCTCCTCTCCTGTCATGAGTGATCTCTTAAATGAGCACTGTGGTGACATTTATTTCCATAGAGCCACTGTGCTATTCCAGAACTTCATATATACAAAATTAATAGTGTGCGCTTTTCTTTCGGGTCTGCTTTGTTTTGCTCACAGGACGCGTGTGAGGGTTGTGTATGCTGCCCTGTGGCTCCACGGCTCATTCCCTTGAATGATTTTTTAGTGTCCTAAATCCTATCTCTTTTTTGCGTGTCCAGATCCTGATTCTGATCTAGAATTCACTATACTTGACAGAGCACAGTACATTTTCCACCCTGGTCAATTACTTGCAGAGTGTGAGACCTTCTGCCCCTCTTTTTCCAGGGGAGAGATCATGTTGCCGTTTTTAGCAAATTGCTATCTGTGTATTGTTTCTAAGTTTTGTGCTTTGAAAGCACTCAGGCATAAGTTTTCCTTATTTTCCCACACCAAGTTTTTGTTCCTTCATGATTGTAGCTGCCCATCTCTGTAACACGAATTCTAATTGTTCTTTATAATCAGTACCGAGTGTCAGAAGCAGGGGTTAAAGCTAAAGATCAGAGAAACAGACCAGTAAGCCCCAAGTGACTACTTACCTCTATCAAAGCTCAGACCAAGATGGATGATCCTCAGAATTCCTAGACTGAGCTGGGTCTCCACCAAATCTAATACGGTTTGCTCAGATAGCACTTGAGGTCCTGGCTTATATAGCTTTCTCTGCCCTGCCTTAAGCCTTAATCCCTTCTTGACTCCACCTCCCTAATGCTGGGAGTAAGGATGTGTGAATCCCAAACACTAGGATTAAAGGTTAATCCACTGACTGGTTTAATCCACTGTTTCAAGTAGGCCGGATTAACCTTGAACTCCCAGAGATCTGTCTGCCTGTCTTGTGAGCGCTGGGATTAAAGGTGTGTGCCACTACTGTCTGCCCTCTATGGCCAACTTGCAGTAGCCCTGCACTCTAACCTCCAGGCAAGCTTTATTTCTTAGATTACAAACAAAATATCAACACATATCTCCATGTCCTCTTGTGGCTTGACTTTCTCATGTTGCCATGCTAATGGCCTTACATCAGCCTTCCTCGGGACTATGCAAATGTTTGCTTGTTTCAGTTGGTTACACAAAATGTCTCCTTACATTATTTGTATTCATTTTTCTTTTTTCATTATTTGAGACAGGATCTCACTATACAGCCCTGGTTGACCTCAACTCATTATGCAGATAAGGTTGACCTTCAAACTCACAGGGATCATCCTATTTTTGTCTCCAGGCTGCAGGGATTGAAGGTGTGGGCCAACTTTTATTACTATTTTTTTAAACATATAAAATTAAAAGTACTAATTGCTCTTCATAAAACATTTATCACCCAGAGATACAAATTGAGCCAAATTCCATTTTCTAGAAATGCAACTAAAACCAGAGGTAACAATAGATTTTGATTAAAACCACTTAAACATCTCTCCATTCAGTACTCAGGTAGCTAATGATGTATCTAGGTATAGGTTTTAAAGAACTGCTTTGAACAATTCAATATAAATTCATTTGAATTGGCTCTCTTGTTGTGCAATGGTAGACATACATGATAGAATACATTAGTCTCAAAAGATTCTTTTTATGTACATTTCAAGTGACATTTGAACTGCATAATTTGACTTTGGAATGTATCTGTAGAAATCTATATTATTGGGAATCAATCTACCTCAGGATCCAGCAATACCACTCTTGGGAATATACCCAAGAGATGCCCAATCATACTACAAAAGCATTTGTTCAACTATGTTCATAGCAGCATTATTTGTAATTGCCAGATCCTGGAAACAAACTACATGCCCCTCAATGGAAGAATGGATAAGGAAAGTGTGGAATATATACACATTAGAGTACTACTCAGTGGTAAAAAATAATAACATTTTGAATTTTGCATGCAAATGGATTGAAATAGAAAAGACTATCCTGAGTGAGGTAACCCAGACCCAAAAAGATGAATATGGTATGTACTCACTCATTAGTGGATTCTAGCCATAAACAAAGGACATTAAGCCTATAGTTCACAAACCTATATGCTTAGAAAAGCCAAATGACAAGGTGAACCCAAAGAAAAACATATATGGATCATCTTGGAAATTGGAAGCAGACAAGATTGCCGGGCAAAAGTTGGGAGCACGGAGGTGGGGGTAAAGGGGTGGGGTTGTGGGATGGGGAGAGGGGGAGAGAGAAGGGATTAAAGGCATGAGCCACTACTGCCCAGTGAAAATTTTTCTCCCCTTCCAAGAGAGTAATATCCACTTTGAGCTAGAAATGAGTCCTGGTGAGCAAACAAACCCAGTAGAAGCTCCACAGATTCTTAATGGAATCAACAGGGATTGCCAGGGAGAAAGGGTTTTAGTAATCCCTTGTACCCACATGCTAGGTTTTCTATCAAACTATGCAGTGTGAAAAAATTCTCACATGGGGAGAGTCACCAATGACCTGGGATGTTTGGGGTTAGGGTTCCTGCATAATATAGGCCTTCTTCTGTTTGATTAGATGGAATATTTTGAGAAAGGGTAGAAGATTCATGAGTTCAAGAAAATATCCCCCAACAATATTATTGTCTGTTATAGTTTCCTTTCTATTTCTTTGATTAAATACCACTACCAAAACCAATTTGGGGAAGAGGTCTGTTCGGCTTACACATCCGGATCACAGCTCCTTATTGAGAGAAGTCAGGGCATGAACTCAATAGGCATGAACTAAAGCAGGAATGCTGTTTACTGGCTTATTTCTCTTGGATTTATCAATTTGCATTTTGATACAACTTAGAACTACCTGCCCAGGTGTGATGGTTTAAAAGAAAATGGCTCCCAAAGGGAGTGGCACTATTAGGAGGTTTGGCCCTGATAGAGGAAGTGTGTCACTGTGGGGGTGGGCTTTGAAGTATCTTTTTCTCAAAATTCTCTCAGTGTAACAGTCAATTGACTTCCTGTCGCCGTTGAGTCTAAAAGACCCTGGGGCTCAGCATTACCGCCCCTCCTCTTCTGGGAACCAGGAACCTGATAATCACCCATAGGTGCACTGGAGCTTTGGGTACTTTCCCCTGAAATTTTCCATCCCCTTTGTAGTTTTTCTTCAATAGACCCAGGCCCTGGAACTGGGGTAAAATGACCTGCAGATGACCTGCAGGTATTTCTCCTTGCTCAACCAACCCAACAATTGCCATAGCAATGACCCATCATAGTTAGCTGAGCATTGAACAAGCTAGTCACAATAGTTGACAAATGACTTCTGCACCACCCCTTTTGATTCTGTGGTTTTTCTCTTTCAAATAAGCCTGTAATAGCTTTTTGGGATCCTTCTCCTCCTGAGGCTGAGGACCCTGACGTGCCAGTCAAATTAAATTCCCCTTGCTTTTGCATCAACTGCAGTGTAAGAGTGGTCTCTTGGGGTGCCCTCTCCTATATAAGTGGCTTTAGGGTCCAACACGTCGAGATCTAGGGCTTTCAGCTCCAGCACCATGGCTGCCTGTATACCACTAGGCTCTTCACCATGATACTGGGCTGATCCTCTGAAATTGTGAGTTTCCCCCATTAAATGTTTCCACTTACAAGA